GGGCAGCATTTATAGTTGCGCTTTAACTAAATTTGCTGTGGGGAAAAAGTTGCAATGCACGCCTCCATTTGAATTCTCAGATTTCCATTTAAACGTCTTCAGTTACTTGACGTTGGAATTACCTTTTGATTATCGAAATACCAAAATGACCACTGGTTGAAGAATAATTGAACTCTTTCTCTCTTTAGAACAATTCTCTATGCGGAAGAGGAAGAGGGCGTTGAACATAGTCTGACCACTGTAAATTCATTCGGCTGAACATACGTTCGAGTTTAGCGGGTTCCAACTCTTCGCTGCATCTGAGAATATTAATCGATCCGAAGATCCTGCCTAGAGATAGACAGAGTTCGGAGCCATACGTCCGTCTATTTCTCTTCGTGTAAAAGGCATGGAAAAAATGGCATCACCGCTCCCATCACAATTTCGTTTAAACAATTGTTCTAAAGAAAGAAAGAGTTCAATGATTCTCCAACCAGTAGTCATTTTGGGATTTTTTCTAGAGTGATGTAAATCAAACCCCGCTTGGCAGTGGACCCAAGACATCGCGCGCGGTAGACAATTTCTCTCCAGCGGTGATCTAAGAATACAGTACATACTGTCGTTTACAATCTCTTCTTTCGAGATTACCGTATCAATCATGAGTTTGTTGTGTTTAGGGAAAACTGGTGAAGGGGATGGGCGGAGCTATGGACCTGGTCTCTGCTCCAGGAGCTCGTGTCATCGTGACAATGGAGCATTGCTCAAAAAATGATGAACCAAAGATTTTGCCTCATTGTGATTTGCCTTTGACTGGAAAACAGGTTGCATCACGAATAATTACGGATAGGGTGAGTTTGAGACTTCGCTCCAGATTATGTTTCCCTCCACATCAAAGAAAATTTAGGCAGTCTTCGACGTTGACAAAAAGGAAGGCTTGACGTTAATTGAAGTGAGGTCCGATTTGACAGTCGAGGACATCAAGAAAGCTACAGCCGCGCCGTTCAAGGTAAGAATATTTTGTGCATCTATGTGTTCTTCAGAACGAACTTGGCACTCGAGGTTTTCCCCACCCATTGGTATCATAATACTTTATTGGCAACTTTTTCTTGTTGGGCTTATAGAAGACTTGTGTTCACAAAGTACACTTTTCAGGTATCAGAGAACTTGAAGCCCATGGGACAGGCGAAATTAAACTAGCAGCAATCATCGCTAACTTCGAATTAACGTTCGTCAACTGGAACTCCCTTTGTTTTCCTTTTTTCATTTCAATTAGAGCCTTCAGTTCCTGTGACCTTTACTGGTGATTTCCGTGAAACAATTATCTCATGTTAGCCATTACGTTGTCTTTTCAAGCTACTCATTGCTACCTTTCTTACTAATTATAAGTTGCCTCAGCGTCCACACTTTTCTCTTTTCTACCTCTTCATTTACGTTGCCTTCTACCTCATTTGAGATACCATTAAGACATTGTAGAATTTCGTCTGATAGCGTTCTAGGATAGAATTAGCGTGGTACAGTGAGAGATTTGGTTGTTACTATGAATTTACTTAATCATTTTCCACAGCAATTATTGATGGAGGAACAGCCACAGAAAATTGTAGTCCGTAACGCTGTAGAGAGTACATTTTCTAATTGGAAATACATCTCTCTGCACCATCTCTCAACACAAAAATTTATCCAACAATAACAACAAAACGACTCAAATGATTCCGATCTTATTGGCGCAATCAAGGGCGTCGTAGTCTGAAGTAAGACGAATGTACGCCTTCTTTTCCATATGTGGTGTGATGAGCGTGTTTATCTACAAACAGTAACAGAGAGCTCATAAACAATACACCCAGATAGTCCAGGTAGTAATTTCGCTTCTCTTTTGTTAGAAATACTCAAGAGCATGCTAAATATTCACTGGTTCTACCAAAGAAAGTTCAAATATGATTGTAGTTCCTCACCTTCTGCACATCAATGTTATACAGTTTCTTCACTGCATTCCGAATCTGATGTTTGTTGGCTCTCACGTCAACCATGAAGACCAGAGTGTTGTGGTCTTCGATTTTCTTCATCGCCGATTCAGTTGTGAGAGGATGCTTGATAATAGCGAAAGTATCCAGCTTGTTGCGAGCCGGTGCTGACTTTCGAGGATACCTAACACCGAAAATCTGAGAAGGTTCGTCAGCAACCAATCTCTTTCATAGATCCTTCAGCTTTCATACATAAAAACTTGAAGTACTTCTTGAGAGATGCTTGCAATAACCATCGTTTTTCATGTTCAATGTTCTTCATAAGAGGTTGTGTATTTGTTCAACATTTTATTTTCAAACTGATTACTAGAAGCTTTGTTAAGTTATTAGGATGTTCTAACAAAAAAGAAATTCTGTAACAAATGGATAACCTGAACTGACTATGATCAGTGTAGGCCCTCTTGTAAAGCTTCTCTAGGCCTTCATAAAACGCTCAGAGCTCCTTGTACCTGTATCCCCGTAAGGTGTGTATGCAAAGCAAATTGTTACAGCTGAAGTTGAAACACATTTCTAAGTCGCGGACGTCCCATTCGATTGTCAAGCATTCGTACGTATCAAGCCGAGGGCTTATCGACTACGACACCCACATCGGTAAGGCCCCTGATGTTGCATGTTCTCAAAACAGTTCTTCCCTAGTCCAAAAATGGCGTGTAGCGAGCGATGTCGTACGTAATCTTCATAGCTTGCATCAGGCCTTCAACCCACCTCTATGCAAGCGTTCGTGCATTGAAAGCTCTGTTCGCCATTTTGATCCATCTTCCTTCAGGAAGCCTGCTATGGCCCTGAGATAACTCTCTCGCAAGCGGTCCTACCCAACACTGCCCTATTAAGGGCTCCCTCTGGTTCATGGGATCGAGGCTCATTTATATTACTGTTTTTGGCGTAAAAGTATTCTTAAGTAGAATGGGCAGACTCCGAGTGGCTAGCCAGGCTGTTCCAATGTGGGCACGTGGCTCAATTATTNTTTTTTTCCCAGTCACTCAGTGCAAGCATTTGGATGAGACTATGTGCTGGATACCAACCGCACTGGCAGAGTCTGCATACACACATGCATGGATACACCTGGAATGAGACAGAAGGTAATAATCGACCCAACACAGCAGAAACAGTAGTCTGTCCTCCGAATCCACCTGCCTCTGGGCAACTACCCGTGACTTTTGATCCGCGATAACTCGCAAAATGTCACGGAGGCGCGAACAAGAGTGTGAAATGTCACGTGGGCGCGGTGAGGACTCAGTTACGAAATATGAAGTCTACCGAAACTGTTTATATTGATCCCCTAACAGATCCTCGATAGGAGCTTGTGGACATGTGATGCACGCGTTAGCGTTAACAAGGTTCAGTGCCATGTGAGAGAATCTTTACGGGTAAGTGGCGCTGCCGTGTCGCGCGCTGTAATGCGCACCAGCCAAGTATAAAGCTTACCGCTCAGATCGTCGGATCGTCATTTCAATAGATGGCCTACGTCAGAATCTCCATTCTTACCATTTACTATGGCTCTTCATTATCATTCCTGAGATGTTCGTGTTTCTGCACCAAGTGTCTAAAGTTGAGATGCGACGTTATTAAGGATTGCATCTCTAACCAATGAGTATTCATAGGCAAGTGGTAAGGATGGGTAGCGAGGGATAAAAGGGGAAGGTGGTGATGAAACAACATACAAAAATTCACAAAATTTACATCTCACTTAATGAGAACCCGTGAGATTTTTAATAGAAATGAAACCACACTAGTGCGGAGTTTTACAGCAATCAAACTAGATGGGTGAATGGGGGGGNGGGGGGGACGGTCAAGTCGTGCGTCCGAGGTTGCGCGCGGCGAATTGCGCGGCCAAGCCCATACCCATTCTGACGACTTTAGCGCCTATTATTTGGGCCCAATTTCGGAATACAGTAGAATAGTAGGATCAGCTGACCTTACTAATTCACCTTACTTCAGATTTGGGCCCCAATGATAGGCGCCGGAGTCGTCCAAATCCGCCACGAACTTCGCCGCACAATTTGCCGCGCGCACCCTCGGACGCACGACTTGACACACACCCGGTGAATGGAGGCTGAATTTCCCCTTAAGCCGGTCATTCCAACTGTTTTACAGGAGGAAAATCTCACCATGAGCAGTTTGAGTGGTTATGCACGAATAACAAAACGGTTTCACTAAAAACTTACTTGGGATTACGTGCTGTCTTCAGAGTCTTCGGTCGACGGAAGTGAACCGAAGTACGAACCTTCTTCTTGTGCAAGTGCTTTTGACCCTTCAACACTTTCTTCTTGGCTGTGATGGCTTTCTTTGTCGGAGCAGCTTTTGATGCAGACTTCGTTGATGCCATTATGTTGTCTGGAGTAATTTGAACTTTGCCGATGAAAGAAAACGTAAAAAAAGAACTCATGCTAAAAAAAGATCATGCAAACGAGTGTGAAAGCTTTGGCAACAGCTGTTGGGAAATAACCTACTAAGCAAGTAGTATGATGGAGCTTACGATGAACTCAAAGCGCGTTCGTGAAACACTAGCACTTGGAGTCCTGCCCGCATCGAGAGAGAGCCTTTACAGCATGTACAGGATGTTCGAAAATCCACAGATTCCACAGTGTCAACCTCATGACATGAACTGCGAGCTGACTATGTGAGGGAGTTCGCACTTTCCGAAAGTGCTGAGAGTAGGCAATGAGTTGGAGACAACGAAATTTGGCAGCAATTTGGATCGACTCCGATGGGATCCTTTGCAATCGTTCTGGCCTTAGCAACAAGCAGACCCTTCACCAGACCCTGCGACGGCGCGGGATCAACGCTAGGGGGAAAGAGGAAGGAGACGACGACGAAAAAGCACAATCCTTTATAGCGATACTCCCCGCATCGAAATTTTAAAAGTAGACTACCATTGCTTATATACGTAGATTAATATACTAACAAGCAGGACTTGTATCTCGTAGTGATTTCGAACGGTTTAAGAAAACATTTGCTAAGAAACCCTAAGTAGGGTAAAATAGCGCCATCGAAGGGTTGCTACAAGTGACGACGGGTTTTTACGGTACAACAAATTTGAACAGACGACTGAAGCGTTGGCTTGTGGAATTTCCGCATCCCTGTTGTCCTGCGGGACTTCTGGCAATCTTCCAAAGCTATAAGCGACGGTAGACCAATCAATTTTCAGGAATTCTAAGAGAGACTGGCAATGGACGATTCAAGCCTCATAATGATCTGTCCGTAATGCGGAAGTGTAGGGGCAACCAGATCACCCTTCAGATGAATAATTCACTTTTTCATAACCATTGCTATGAATTCTGCTCTGTTAGGATCAAGATGTGCAGGTACGTCGTTTTAACTATAAACCTCTTTCTCTTCCATTCCCCTCCATTCATTTTCAACACTAATANCCGTTGTTTCCAAATCTTGTTTTCTAAATGAGTGGGACTCAATCAATTGAGCACATCAGCGCTCCTACAGACTCAAATAAGCGTATTACACATACATTATCAAGAGTACGTGAAAATTGAGTGAGATATGAGATGGTTCGATATGGAAAGAGACCGAGATAAGTGTTCGTTTTGAAGACAAACGGACCGGAAACGACGAAAAACGACTTCACCCAGTGGGAAACCGTTGATACTGACCGTATCAAGTGATTACGCACTATCAGGAATGACTTTGAGGAAACAGGAATCGATGAAGGAGGCAAATATAAGACCTGTTGACGTGCTCCAACGCGAGCAGACGCTATTACCCTCACTCAATGCGCGGCGCCTTCAAGTTCTATTTATTTGTATTGTTATAAAATTTTACTTGAAATCAGCAACAACGTTGAAAATCACCCTCATAAGAGTCTATGGGAATAGCTGCAAGACTATGCCAACTGCAGGGGACCTTACTGTTCAGTAATTTTCTTGAGATGATTTCAAAATGATGGAGATAGTGTGAATGTGTTTTGTGGGTGCCGGCTCTTTATGTATCGATCTTTCCATACCGCGTTGCGTGTCTCACACTCGCCCAGCAAGTTGTTTTGTTTTATTTTCAACTATTTTCATTTAAAACTTTGTTTACAGATGCCTCTACTGAACAAAAAACCTATTGAAAGATGCGAATTACCTGCAAATGTAAAGCTCACGGATAAAGTATTCTTTTTAGAGGCCAGTAATGAAATATTCGTCACATATGAGTAAGTTGATCTTTTTGTTTCATGTTTTACTCAATTTCATGCCATCAGCATAGTGACTGAGAGCATTTCCGATTTGATCTACATCTTGATGATTGGTTTTTCAGTGAATTTTTCGAGAGAATGATTCAACTTAATTCAACTCTATTCTCTTGTGAATTTACGGGCAAAACAGGACTGACGTTTTTTGAAGCGCTAGAATCGGAAAAACAAGCCATGGTATGTTTTTTCTACATACTCTACCCCAACCCCAAAGTTACCCTTGATAGTTTTGATCAAAAAGATTCTCTGTGTCACAGAAAGTTTCTGGAGGTCGAAGAGACAGTGACATTAATCCCCAGGTTACTACTAGATTTGTAGGTTCCAACATGGTTCGGGTGAGTAGGTATTGTGGGTGGAAACTGCCGAAAAGAATGGTTGGTAGTGGCTTTCCACCCTATATCCCTTAGGCATTCCTGATTCCCGACTTTCACGGATCTAATACTTCACACTGTTAAAGTTGGGTTATTCGAGTACCAAGACCGATTCTAGAGCTTATTACCCCGAGCCTTGTGCAAGATGCTTCCCTCTGACTCATATGAAACGGTTTTTGTCCCCACGTCAATCTCGCTGATCTAGTTCTTGCATAGATTACTCCGTTTGATATGAACTTTCCCATCCTCTCGGTCCTATGTCCATGAAACGTATTGTAGTGAATGAGGTAGAAAAGATGAGACAGGAGTCGCAGTAAAGGCGCCATTATATCTCATTGTTGTCAGAGACGTCTCTGCCCTCACAGCGATTTGGCAAAATAATAGAATCAGATATGAATCGGAACGAGAGACTTCCAGAAATGCGAAATCAATGAAATCCCGACTAGCATAGTGTAGGTGATGGNATGGATCAAACCAATGGATAAGTATCTTGTTCTGGTAACAGATTTACCTACTCCACATTTCCACCGTTTCCTCTCTCCACCATTTCCGAAAAAGTACCACTCGTTATTGGCTACTACGATAAGAAACGATTCGATTCGAAGAACTTCTGGACGGAAATTGTCGATGTTGGAAGACGGCACCAACTAACCGGTGAAAATGCGCTTGGGAGACACGGTATTCGACTGTGCTTCTGGGCCTTTTCGCGCCTTCTTTGGGCCCTCTCGGCTGGCCGGTATACTCCCGCGCAAGCCCTTGCACATTCAAATAGTAGCAACCAATCAATAATCGATTGGGTGTACAACTCCCCTTCGTTTCCAGCTGTTTACGCGAGTTATGCACCACGTTCACCCTGCTTCTCCTCCCTTTATGAGGCTTATGGAAAAAATACATCGTCCCGCTCGGGAGAGGCTTTAAGCCATCATTACAGGCCTGCAAAACTGACTACCTCTTCTTCTTTGCCTTCAAGCTCCTAATGTTGGACACCCAGAGTGGAGGTGTGGTACGTTGTACTCGGGAAAACAACTCGTCCAACTTCCGAGCTTCTGAAGCTTAAAGCGTTCTTCTACGTTTTCACAATGGAATTGGTTTACAATTTCGAGGACTCTAAAACGCATATCCCCTTTTACTGGCTTATTCCAACAACCCAGGTATGGGGAAAGGGTTAGTGAACACGGTATACAAAGGTGGCGATACTTCTCCATCGCAAGCGACAGCGGTCCTGCGGCGACTACCGTATCCTTCCACTGGCAATTTAAACTTTTTCTCCCGCAGCGCGGTCTGCTTCTAATCGGGTGCGGCGAGCGCGACGCCATTTTCAGAGAGAAGTACCTCACCCGGGTATATTACAGCTCAGAATCTTTTCGATGGAATTCATTAGGTAATAAAGTAATGATTCTTCATAAAAATTTTTCCTCATTCGCAACT